TTAGTAGAGACGGGGTTTCACCATGTTGACCAGGATGGTCTCGATCTCTTGACCTTGTGATCCACCCACCTCGGCCTCCCAAAGTGCTGGGATTACAGGCTTGAGCCACCGCGCCCGGCCATCAATTAATTTTTTAAAAGTCACATTCTCACAGGACCTTCAAAGCTCCTAGGCTTAGGTCCGTGCTTGGAGGGTCTGGGTCTAAGGCCAGAAAAGCCCCTCTCTACTCCCACCTCCCCATCCCACCATGGGCTGCTGGAAGCTGGGCCCTACTATCTTCCATGCAGGGCCCCTGCCTCTCCATATCACATTGCCATTTGCCAGTGATTCTTCTCAATATCCCCATACAGTATAATGATTTTTCCAAAATACAAAAGCGATTATAGGTAAGCTGGACCGTGTAGATGAGCATAAAGGAAAACAGACCCCCTCCCCAATTCTACCCACTTGAGAGAACCACTGTTAACATTTCGGTATACTTTTTCCCTCAATCCCTTTTTCTAGGTAAAATTACCACTCAATTCTGGGCTTTCTGCATTTTATTTTTTATTTTTATTTATTTTATTTTTTTTAGATGGAGTCTTACTTTGTTGCCCAGGCTGGAGTGCAGTGGCATGATCTCAGCTCACTGCAACCTCTGTCTCCTGAGTTCAAGCGATTTTCCTGCCTCAGCTTTCAGAGTAGCTGGGACTACAGGCACCTGCCACCATGCGTGGCTAATATTTGTAATTTTAGAAGAGATGGAGTTTCACCATATTGGTCAGGCTGGTCTCAAACTCCTGACCTTAAGTGATCCTCCTGCCTTGGCCTCCCAAAGTGCTAGGATTATAGGTGTGAGCCACCACACCCAGCCTGCATTTTATTTTTTAAAGAGTTACCACCCAAGGGCCGGCATGGTGGCTCACACCTGTAATCCCAGCACTTGTGCAGGCTGAGGTGGGTGGATTACCTGAGGTTGGAAGTTGGAGACCAGCCTGGTCAACATGGTGAAACCCCATTTCTATTAAAAATACAAAAATTAGCTTGGTGTGGTGGTGTGTGCCTGTAATCTCAGCCGCTCAGGAGGCTAAGGCAGGAGAATTGGGCAACACAGTGAGACTCCATCTCAAAAAAAAACAAAAGTTACCGTTCAAATTACCATACTTTAGCCAATAGATATACAAGTTATATTTGCATTTACAAAATTGAGATCCTGATGTACTTTCACTTTTAAACTTTGCTCTTATTCACTTATGAAAATGATATTTTGAGCAATTTCTATCTTTAAACATAAAGCTGTATACATATAAACTTAAAATTAAGTTTAATACCGTTTAAGATATAATTTTAAATTTAATAGCTACAAGCCAGGCACAGTGGTTCATGCCTGTAATCTCAGCACTTTGGGAGGCTGAGGCGGGTGAATCACCTGAGGTCAGGAGTTCAAGACCAGCGTGGCCAACATGGTGAAACCCTGTCTCTACTAAAAATACAAAAATGAGCCAGGCACGGTGGCAGATGCCTGTAATCCCAGCTATGCAGGAGAATCGCTTGAACCTGGGAGGCGGAGGTTGCAGTGAGCCGAGATCGCGCCATTGCACTCCAGCCTGGGAGAGAAGAGCGAGACTCCATCTCAAAAATAAATAAATAAATAAACTTAACAGCTGCATTTTCATCATATAGGCACACCATACTTTATTTAACCATTCTATCATGGACGGTTTTTAGTCAGTTTTCGCAGGGTTAAGCTGTGATAATAAACTATCCCTTGTCCGGGCAGGGTGGCTCACACCTGTAACTCCAGCACTTTTGGAGGCCAAGGTGGGTGGATCACAAGGTCAGGAGTTCGAGACCAGCCTGGCCAATATGGTGAAACCCTATCTCTACTAAAAATACAAAATTAGCTGGGTATGGTGGCGGGCACCTGTAATCCCAGCTACTTGCCTGAGGCAGGAGAATCGCTTGAACCTGGAGCCGGAGGTTGCAGTGAGCCGAGATTGCACCACTGCACTCCAGCCTGGAAGACAGAGTGAGACTTCGTCTCAAAAAACAAACAAAACAAACAAAGAACAAAAATCCCAACATCTTAGTGGCTCACAATGATAAAGGCTTATTTCTTGCCTGTTTTTATTTCATTTATTTTTTGGAGACAGAATCTCACTCTGCCACCCAGGCTGGAGTGCAGTGGTGCCATCTTAGCTCACTGGAACTTCAGCCTCCCAGGTTCAAGTGATTCTCCTACCTCAGCCTCCTGAATAGCCAAGATTTTACAGGTGGCTGCCGCCACGCCTGGCTCATTTTTCTATTTTTATTTATTTTTACAGCCCAGAGCTCTTTTATTTTTTTAGCACCTATGATGCCATGAATCCACAGGGAAGAGGTTCCAGCCGCTCAGGCTCCTTCCCATTGGTTCTCACACAGTGCGCTTCTCTCGGTGGTGCAGGCTGGCGCTTCCGTTGAACCCAGGTCCCTTTCTCTTCGGCGTCTTTTTTTCTGATCATTTTCCTTCCCGAGTTTCAGGAAGCTATTGAGGCTCTTAGAGTGCTTAATGTGCTCAAAAGGCACATTCATCCTTTTGGCAAAAATGTCACCCTTAACTTGTGTGTTTATAATGCCAACGGCATGCTGGGTAGCATTGTAGACTCTGCCAGTTTCGCCATGATAACACTTGTGGGGCATTCCTTTTTGAACAGTATCCATCCCCTTGATGTCCACAATATCACCTTTCTTACAGATCCACATATATGTGGTCAAATAAACAACTATCTTTTCTAAAAGGACCAGAGAACATATATCGGGAGGCTCTCCTCTTTCACTTTGTGTTTGTCATTTTGGTGAATTACTGGAAGATGGTGGTTCCGGCCGAAAGGACTCATTTTTGTATTTTTAGGAGACATGGGGTTTCACCATATTGGTCATACAGTCTCAAACTCCTGGCCTCAGGTGATCTGCCTGCCCCGGCCTCCCAAAGTGCTAGGATTACAGGCATGAGCCACCATGCCTGGCCTGTTTTTCATTTCTTTTGTAGGCTAGTTGTGGGCTGGGCTTTTCTTGGCTGTGGGTCAGGTGTGGTTGTAATTCTTCTTTATCCTAAAATGCAAGCCAAAGGAACAGCCCCCACGTGGGATACAGTCTTGTGGCCAAGGTCAAGAGCAAGAGAGCGATGGCTCTCAGTTTCTGCTCTGAAGGGGTACTGGTCATGTCCACACACGTGCCCTTGGCAAAGGCCATCATGGGATCACTGGGGCCAGATAATACTACTTCCCCAGAAGGGAGAAGGTGGATTCAGCTTTCAGGAAGTGGGTGTGAATGATCGGGAACAATAACACAATCTTCCACAGATGTTTCCATGTTTAAAGGATCCGGGAAGAGCTGTTGATTTCTCATTTTCAATGTCATTTCAAAGCATATATATACTTTTTTTTTTTTTTTTTGGATACAGGGTCTCCCTCTGTTGCCAGGCTAGATGGTGTGCAGTGATACAATTCCAGCTCACTGCAACTTCTGCCTCCCAGGCTTAAGTGATCCTCCTGCCTCAACCTCCCAAGCAGCTGGGACTGCAGGCATGCACCACTACGTCAAGCTAATTTTTGTATTTTTTGTAGAGATGGGTTTCACCACGTTGGCCAGGCTGGTCTCAAACTCCTGGGCTCAAGAGATCCTCTTGCCTCAGCCTCTCAAAGTATTGGGATTATAGGTGTGAGCCACTGTGCCCAGCCACATCTTATATAATTTTATGTATTTATTTATTTAGCTGTGTTTTCTTTTCTTTTCTTTTTGAGACAAAGTCTCACTCTGTGGCCCACGCTGGAGTGCAGTGGCACGAGCTTGGCTTAGCACAACCTCCACCTCCCAGGTTCAAGAAATTCTTGAGTCTCAGCCTCCCAAGGAGCAGGGACAGTTTGCCATGGTTTCTATGCCACCACACCCAGGTGATTTTTGCATTTTTTTGTAGAGACAGAGTTTTGCCATACTTCCCAGGCTGATTGCCGACTCCTGAGGTCAGGCAATTCACCCACCTTGGCCTCCTAAAGTGCTGAGATTACAGGCTTGAGCCACCTCCCCTGGCCAATACAATTTTTAAACTAACTTTTTTTTTTTTTTGAAATCTGCATATCTATTTTATTTCCGTTAGAAAAATATTATCTATATAACATTTTGGTCCACTTTCTTCTCCTTGACCTCAAATATAAACACTTTAATTTTACTCAGAAAAAGCAGAATCACATACCTGACATGAGAATTAAATCGTTCACATCATTAGTTTGAATTAGATATGTTCTTGATTATTTCTCAGGAATAATAAGTCTTCTTTCCTGCCTGTTATTTCTCTTTTATTTATTAAGTACGTAATAAGTGTCTCTTTCCTGTATTCAGGAATACAGGTGCACACAGATGTAATTTAAAACAGTAACTGGATTCTTTAATCTTCAGTTCATGTTCAACTCTCCCTATTATATGGTATATCCATAATAACATCAGATATTCATCAAATTCACACTGTCATCAATATTGTGAAAATTAAAATGTTAATTAAGATGTTATATCAATTGTAAAAGTTAAAATGTTAAAAATTCCAGACTACACAGCACTGCGCCCACTTATAGTGATGCTGTTGTCAGAGGTCCTTGGACAGCTACTGCTTCAATTTCAATTCGGGCACCTTTGGGCAAAGCAGCAACTTGGTAAGCAGCTCTAGCAGGAAAATTACTCTTCAAATACTGTTTGTAGATTTCATTGACAGTATTGAAGTCATTTATGTCAGCCAGAAGAACAGCTGTTTTCACCACATGAGTGAAGTCGCAGCTTGCAGCTTTCAGAATTTCACTCATGTTTTTAAGAGCTTGTTTAGCTTCTTCTGCCACCCCTCCTGACACAAGCTGAAGGGTCCATGCCTATCCGTCCTGAAATGTAAACGGTCCTGTCGGCTAACACAACTTGGCTGCAGGGTCCAATGGCACCTGGGGCTTTCGCGGTGCTGATCACCCTTCTGATCAAGGACGACTTGGCTAAGACTTTCCTCCTGCGGCCCTTTCTTCTTCAGGAGAAGAAGCCCCCGAACTACCCCTTCTCGCTTCTCACTGGACTGACCAACCCTCGCAGCGTCTATGCCGCAAGGCGCCCGCAGGGACCTAAACTAACTTTTATTTTTTATTGCAGTTGTGCAGGTAATGTTTTTTAAAGCCAAATAATTCTATAAGGCTTATTTTAAAAAAGCAGCTTTCTCCACCTAAATTACCACACCTCAACCAATTGATAAGAACTGTTTTTCAGTCTTACTGGGTGCCGGGAATTGCGCTAAATAATTTTCCCAAGTTACATCACTTCATCTTTACACCTGCCACAGGAGGTAAATACGTTCTCTCCCAGCTTGTTACGAAATTTGGCTGAAGAAGCGACTTCTTACCACTAGAGGGCAGACCTGGGCCGGAAACCCAGGTTACTTGACTCCAGAGGCAGACAGAAAAACTTGAGCCTCAGCGGTTCTCAAAGCATGGTCCTCACGCAGCAGGATGGCGTCGCTGGGGACTTGCTAGGCAGGCATGCTGTCGGCCTGCCCGCCACCTGGCCGACTTGGGAACTCGGGCTGGGCCCAGCTGTCTGAGTTGCAATCAGCGGTGAGGAGACTCAGAGACCCCAACGATTGACCACTGGGCTCTCTCCTCGACAGCCGGCTCCCCTTCCTGCCCAGGGCCCCTTCCATTTCCCCCTTCCCCTGACGTCAGTGACAGCCCCATCTGCCTGCTGGACGCAGATGAGAGCCACTGGAGATGCTGCCCTGCCCCTCCCAGCTTCAGGGACCACCCAACTGCCCCCAGCGCCAGTCAGCAGCATGGCCTCAGGGTGCCCGGGTGAGGGCCGAAGCCCCTCCCTCACAGTGGGTGGAGGTCTCTGGTCCGCAGTCCAGTCGGGGCTCTTGTGAGTACTGAAGAATCTGGAGTTGGGAGGAGGCGGAATGTGAGGGGAAGGCCTCATGTCAGAGCGGTGTTTCTGGACTAGAATGGGGCGGGTGAGAGAGTTAGGAAACGGGGTCCCAGGTCAGGGGAGGAAGGAGCACCCAGGGTCCGGTGGGAAACCCCCAGGACTGTCCTTCTGAGGGGTTTTTCCGAGCAGACTGCGTGTGCCCCAGTCCAGTGTCTTGGAAACAGCAGGTGAGGTGTCCCCCCTCCTTCTCCCCTCCTGAAGCTGGGGGGCCCCTCCGCCCTGGGTTGCTTGCTCTGGACTTTGAAGTTGGCTGGGCCCAGTTGGATCTGTGTTCCCGGAGACCATGAAGGACCTGCCCTGCTGGGTGGTCTAAGACCCATTAACATACAGGCCCAGGGCCAGCGGAATCCACCCAGCCACTGGGTTTGGAGCTGGGCCCCTCAGGGGCTCGCCGAGGAGGGGCAAAACCAGGACACCAGAGCCGGGCTGATGGTTGAATTCATCTGGTCTAGATGTCAGCTGTTTCAGATGGAGTAATTTCATTTGGTAACTCTGGCATTTCATTTGGTTCTCTTGTGGGAGTTCATTTAAAACATCACTTACAGCTGGTTGCAGTGACGCATGCCCGTAATCCCAGCACTTTGGGAGGCCGAGGTGGGTAGATCCCTTGAGGTCAGGAGTTCGAGACCAGCCTGGCCAATATAGTGAAACCCTCTCTCTACTAAAAATACAAAAATTAGCCAGGCATGGTGGCAGGCGCCTGTAATCCCAGCTACTCGGGAGGCTGAGACAGGAGAATTGTTTGAACCTGGGAGGCAGAGATTGCTTTGACCCAAGATCACGTCACTGCAGTCCAGCCTGGAAGACAGAGTGAGACTCCATCTCAGAAAAAACAAAAACAGAAACGAAAAACAACGTACTTTCCAGCCAGACTTCTGGCCCCTTGCCTTCCATGACCCTCTGGCCTGACCAGGCAGTGCCCCTGCGGCTTCCACCTCCACCTCATGTCCACCTCCAGCTAAGCTGCAGGGGCGGCCACAGATCTGGGGTGAGGAGGCTGCTCCTCTCTCCCGGCTTTGAGAAGATGAACGTGCAGCTGCAAGGTTGTGGACAGGGCCTGCTGTCCTGGCAGGTCTCTCCAGCCCTAGCCCAGGCCCAAGGTTGCCTGGTGTCTTCTCAGGAACCAGCTGGCAGGGCACTTGTATTTTCCAGCTGGGAAACAAGTGGAATAAATACCAAGCCTATGAATGTTAGGAATTTCCAAATTAAGTTCATCGCCGAGCTTTAGAGGGTTTACTTTGGGCCCCCAATTCCCGCTCTGATGGGTTGAATCGCAGTCCTTGAGGGCTCTTTCCCGCCAGGTCATTCCAGTGCCAAGGCCATGGTAGGCAGGTAGCAGGTCCCCAGTCAATAACCCACACCATGGCTGCAAGACTCCTTTTGGCTTTTTTTTTTTTGAGGCAGAGTTTCACTCTTGTAATCCAGGCTAGAGTTTCATGACGCAATCTCGGCTCACTGCAACCTCTGCCTGCCTCAGCCTCCCGAGTAGCTGGGATTACAGGCGCCTGCCACCGTGCCTGGCTAATTTTTGTATTTTTAGTAGAGATAGGGTTTCACCATGTTGGCCAGGCTGGTCGTGAACTCCTGACCTCAAGTGATCCACCCTATCTGCCGGCCTTGGCTTCTCAAAGTGCTGGGATTACAGGTGTGAGCCACCGTGCCTGGCCTTTTTTTTTTTTTTTTTTTTTCCACTTTGAGACAGTGTCTCACTCTGTTATGCAGGCTGGCAGGCTGGAGGCAGTGCTGGATCTTTGCTCACTGCAGCCTCCACCTCCCAGGCGCAAGCAATCCTCCCACCTTAGCCTCCCAAGTAGCCGGGACTATAAGGGCACACCACCATGCCCAGCAAATTTTTGTATTTTTTGTAGGTTTTGCCGTGTTGCCCAGGCTGGTCTTGAACTCCTGACCTCAAGTGATCTGTCCACCACAGCATCCCAAAGTGTTGGAATCACAGGGCGTGAGCCACTGCACCTGGACTCTCTTTGTCTTTCTGCCAGATTCTTTTTTTTTTTTTTTTGAGACAGAGTCTTGCTCTGTCACCAGGCTGGAGTGCAGTGGCACCATCTCAGCTCACTGCAACCTCTGCCTCCTGGTTTCAAGTGATTCTCCTGCCTCAGCCTCCCGAGTACCTGGGACTACAGGTGTGCATCACCACGCCTGGCTAATATTTGTATTTTTAGTAGAGATGGGGTTTCACTATGTTGGTCAGGCTGGTCTTGAACCCCTGACCTCAGATGATCTGCCTGCCTCAGCCTCCCAAAGTGCTGGGGTTACAGGCATGAGCCACTGTGCCTGGCTCTGCCAGATTCTTGGAAGCCAGCTGCCCCCCACAGCTTGGGGCTGCCCTTGGGCTTCAGGGCTCCTGTGACACTGCCCTGGGTCCTCTTCCTGGATGTCTCAGGCCAACGGCATCCCTCTCTTGGTCTCGATTCATGTCCAGGAGCAGGACCCAGCCCTCCCTCCCCGGCCCCAGCCCATCTTTCCCTCCTGTCTTCTAATTGGGGGAGAGGGACCTTGTCCCCTGCCTCCAGTCAGACACTTCCCTTCTTCCCTTGTACTTGCTTGGTAAACCCTCCAAGTTCTCCTGAGACCTTCAGCTTTAAGAAAACAAAAGCCAGAAGGACCATCAGGGAGGAAAAGGCCCCATGGAGCGGGTGGCCGGGGGTGGCGTGGGAGGACAGAGGTGGAGACAGCTGGGAGATTGAATCGACAGGACCTGCTGCTGTGGAGGAGAGGAAGACGTCAAAGCGGAGCCAGGGAGGCTGGGAGGCCTGAGCTGGAGATGAAGAAGCTGTCCCCTTCATGGGGAAAGCCAAAGCCGTGGCCTCGCCCGTGGGCGTGTCCAGAGGACCATGGAAAGGACAGGGGTGGAAAGAACCAGGGTCAGGGGGAGAGCTGAGCCTGGATGCTGGCCCGGAGGGAGGGTGGGGGCAGCCTTGGTAAGGACCACCCTGGGAGTGGGAGGGCAGAGGGCCAGGCCTCAGCTTGGAGACCGCTTTATTTAGGGGATCGAGGCAGAGGAGCGGGAGAAGGGGCTGGGAAGGCTTACAAATAGCTGATGGGGACCAGCCTGGCTTACAGCCTCATGGGGGCAGTAGGTGGGAAAAGAAGCCGAGGTGTCAGTGCGTCTCCAGTGAGCCCTGCGCGCAGTCAATGCTGGGCATGGTGTGTCAGCTCCGTATGAGGGCTGAGTATGTGCTGGCTGAGTATGCAGAGGAAGGAAGGAAGTGTGTGAGTCTGCTCAGGCTGCTGTCACAAAGTGCCTTAGATTAGGGGGCTCAAACTATAGCAATGAATTTTCTCACAGTTCTGGGGGCTTGAAGTCCAAGATCAAGGTGTTGGCAGGATTGGCTTCTTTGGAAGGCTCTCCTTGGCTTCCAGATGGCTGCCTTCTCTGCTTCTTCACATAGACTTCCCTCTGTGAGTGTCTGTATACTGATCTTTGCTTCTTTTTTTTTTTTTTTTTTTTTTTTTTTGATGGAGTCTTGCTCTTGTTGCCCAGGCTGGAGTGCAACGGCACGATCTTGGCTCACTGCAACCTCTGCCTCTCGGGTTCAAGCGATTCTCCTGCCTCAGCCTCCCAAGTAGCTGGGACTACAGGTGTGTGCCACCATGCCCCACTAATTTTTGTATTTTTAGTAGAGATGAGGTTTCACCATGTTGGCTAGGCTGGTCTCAAACTCCTGACCTCAGATGATCCGCCCACCTCGGCCTCCCAAAGTGCTGGGATTATAGGCATGAGCCACCATGCCTGGCCCTGATCTTATCTTCTTATAAGGACGCCAGTCATATTGGATAGAGCCCGCCTCGAAGGACGTCATTGAACTCAACCTCTTCAAAGAGCCTGTGTCCAAATACAGTGATACTAATTGAGGGTTAGGACTTTAGCTTATGAATTTTGGGAGGACGATTCTGCCCATGTCGAGGAGCATCTACATATTGTCAGGGAGACAAAACACACACACTTAAGAAATGGACAAGATAGTGTACAGTTATTTGCTAAACTGTGTGCTATAAACAAATGAGAAAATAAAACAGTATATAAAAAATGACCACATATGGAGACACTGAAGAAAATATAGTTCAAAAATGTTTTGAACACTCAACCAGCTTTACACTAAGAGCAGAAAATCTCCAGGTGCTGGTAATACAAAGGGAACATCAAATGAGAGCGTTAGTGGGATAAGTTGAAATGGCTCATGGAGTTTTGGAGCCAGATGTTGGCCTTCAGTGCTTTGGGCAGGGCCTTTGAAATTAGCATAACTGGCACATCTCAGGAGCTTGAGAGAGGCAAATGTGAAGCCTCTCTGCAGGATTTCTTGTACAACTTGGGAATGAGAGTCTCCCACAGAAAGCATCCCCCACTGAGTTGAGCTCACAAGGGGTCAAAAGTAAGAAAAGCAGCAGTCAGAGGGAAATAGAAAGAATAGCCTCCCGGCCGGGCGCAGTGGCTCACGCCTGTAATCCCAGCACTTTGGGAGGCCGAGGCGGGTGGATCACGAGGTCAAGAGATCGAGACCATCCTGGT